TCCAGCCAGCCAGCCTAACCGCAGGTTCGACAGCGTAGTTCTCAAGCGGGGGGCAGAGAGAGGTGAATTCTAAAGGCCGAAGGAAGGGTAAAAAAAAAAGGCAGGATTAGGATTATGCGACTGATATAGGTACATGCGATGCGTATAGACATTCCGCTTTACTTACTTACTTGCTTACTTACTCGCTTACTTACTTACCTAAGTAAGTAAGTAAGCGAGTAAGTAGGTACTTACTTACCTACTTGCAGAATAAGCTAGCTAAAAGAAGACGAGGATGCACGCGTCCCTGCGTGGCGAGTACACTCGAGCCGGAGTGGAAGGCGATACGGGAAAGCTTCGTACGGTAAGCAAGCTGCTTGCTTGCTTGCTGGTGATCTATCTCCTTGGCGGGGGGACATTTCTTTTTTTTTTTCCTTTCTCGTTTCTTTCTTTCTGGCTTTGCGGTTCTGGCTTTCTTGCCTGTGTTTTTGCTTTGCTTTGCTTTGCTTTGCTTGATGGTAACGATGTTGACGGGGTAGGGAGAGAGAAGGGGGGGTTTTTGTCTTATTCTTTTTTTTTCTTTTTTTTTTTCTTTTTTTTTTTTGCCATGTTTTCTTTCGTTTGTTCCTTCCCTGCTTGCAGCTGGCGGGGTTTGGGGATCTTTTCCTTAGCGGCAGCAGTACTTTGGAGCGGCTCTTTCGCGATGGTCTTTTCTTTTTTCGTCTTCGTCTTTCTTTTTCGTCTTTCTTTTCCGTCTTCGTCTTCTTCTTCGTCTTCTTTTTCGTCTTCGTCTTCGTCTGAAAGGGGTTGGATGCTGCGTTGGAAGTTGGATGATTCCCGTCGCTGCTCTATAATCGATCGTAAATTAATATTGCTCAATGCAGAGGCTAGCAGTGTTGCGGTGCAAGGAGGATTCCGTGCTATATATATATATATATATATATATGTTATTGTCTGCTAAAGCGGACCCCGCCAACCAACCCTTCAAGTACAACTCCCAGCATCGCAAGCTACGATCACGTCGTTACCCAATACATACCCAAGATACCGGTACATGCAAACATATCCCAATACGGCCTGCAGCTCAATCAAGATCCTCTGATCCCTCTTCCACTCAGACAGGAGCTATGCGGCCAGCCTTTCTAGCTATCCTTTCCGGCTCTTAGCGTACCGCCTAGTCAAACCCGCACCCTGCCGCAAGCCAAAGACACACCGTGACGTCGTCCTTCTTTCTGTTGTCGATACTCCTCTGGATGCTACTGTATTGCAATGCCAGCCAAGGCGCGTGGTGCATCTTGGCTGTACGCTCATCGCCAGGATCTGCCTAAAGAAGCAAAATATGCTGTGTCGGTGGCGGGGTGTAGATGTTGATTAAGTGAGGGGTTATTAACGTGGTAACAGCGCATTATCTTTTTTTTTTTTTCTCTTTTTTTTCTCTTTTTTTTCTTCTATTAGAGTAAGGCGAGGGAACTGCGCTCGGTAAGGATAGCTAGCTCTGCTGGCGGAGGCACACATCTGGCACGGCCCGAATCGATAGGTGGGAATAACCGTCTGACAATCGTACGGCGGGGTAAGTATTTATTCATTTCTTCGTTTCTTCGTTTATTCGTCTAGTAAGTATTGTCTCTCGAGCTCCCCCTCTCTACCCGACAGCAACAATACACGCGGAAGTGCGACGACGACGACGTAGCAATAACGAGGGCTGCAGTCAATAAATAGCATAGGATCATAGAGGAGGAGCATCAGAACTTTAGCATCGCACGTCGTACTATAAGAGAGTCTTCCTGTTAAAAGACGTGATGTCGCGTAACACGTCCATGTTTTTCTTGAGTGCAGTCAGAATCCAGAATCAGGAGCTTCAAAGGTGATGTTATCAAGAAGAAGAAAGAGAAAGCGAAGAATCACAGATAGGGAGAAAAGGACGTAGTACGGTAACCAGGAGGCTAGAGTTATGTTATGTTTTTTTATCGTTCTTCATATAGTCGAGAACATTATCTGCTAGGCTGTGGACGTTGGAATCAAGACACCGGCCGCTTAGCGCTGGTAAGAGGAGCCTTGTATGTTTGTTTACCCTGAAAGAGCTCGCTCGCCTTGCTGAAAAAAGAAAAAGAAAAAAAGAAAAAAAGAAAAAAAGAAAAAAAGAAAAAAAG